GAGGGTCGACAGTTCGATGACCGGTTCCCCACCTCCCAGACCAGAGGAGATCCACGACTCTTCCAGTCCATGTGTTGAGGTATCCTTGGGCAAGATACTGAACCCCAAATTGCTCCAGTGTGCAAGTATGTTAAATGGTTAAAAACTGAGTAGTTACACCTTGTATGGCAGCCTCAGCCACCAATGACTGAATGTGACAAGTAGTCATCGAATGACTAGAAAGCACATTTACCATTCAAAAGTTGCCCTCACTCGTGAACAAGACCCCGACATACTTGGACTCCCTCACTTAAGGCAGTAACTCACTCCCAACCTGGCGGGGGAGATCCACCGTTTTCCGTCAGAGAACCATGGCGTCAGATTTGGAGGTACTGACTCTCATCTCAACCGCTTCACACTCGGCTGCAAACCGCCCCAGTGCATGCTGGAGGTCGCGCTGTGATGAAGCCAACAGAACCACATCATCTGTGAAAAACAGAGATGCAATTCTGAGGTCACCAAACCCCTTCCTCCCCCCTAGTTGTGCCTCAAGATCCTGTCCATGAAAATCACAAACAGAATCAGGAAGCCGACACCCACTGAGAACGTGTTTGAATTTGTGCGCAATTTGTGAACGCAACTCTCACTTGGGTTATACAAGGACCAGATGGCTCGTAGCAGCGACCCCAGTACCAGTATTCCTGCAGTACCTCCCTCAAGTCTCCCCTTGGGATGCGGTCGTAAGCCTTCACCAAGTCCACAAAGCACATGTAGACTGGATGGGCAAAATCCAATGACCCCTCCAGCGGCCTCACAGGGGTAAAGAGCTGGTCCACTGTTCCAGACCAGAACAGAATCTGCAATGTTCCTCCTGAATCCAAGGTTCAACAATCTGTTGGAGCCTCCTTTCCAGCACCCTGGAATAGACGTTCCCAGGGAGGCTGAGCAGCGACCTATGGTCATGAGCTCTGGGTAATGACTGAAAGAATGAGGTCACGGATACAAGCAGCAGAAAAGAGTTTCCTCCGTGGGGTGGCTGGGCTGATTCCTAAAGACAGGGTAAGGAGCTGGTATCTGATCAGGATGCTTCCTGGGTGCCTCCCGTTGGAGGTGTTCCAGGCATGTCCCACTGGTAGGAGGCCCCAGGGCAGACCCAGAACACGCTGAAGGGATTACATGTCGTCTGGCCTTGGAAAACCTTCAGGAATACCTGAATGCGTTGCTGGGGAGAGGGACACCTGGACTGTTTTACTCGGCCTGCTGCCCCCACGATCTGGCTTTGGATAAGCGGTTGGAAATTGATAGATGGACAGATTCAAAAGTAGCATTAACACACTATAATAATGCTCCATTAGAACAAGTAAAACTACTGCAATTAAAGTTTTAGTTAAGAAATAGCAACAAAATGTATCTGTAGTAACAAAAGTAAAAGTGCTCATAATGTCAAATACTCTCTGTTAGTGTCTGTTAGTGTTGCATTTAAGGGTGCAGGTGTTTTTGTCACCTTAGAACGAGCTGTTTTTATCTTCATATGGAGTGGGTCCTCTTCCATAGAGTCTGCCATGTTGTTTCTACAGTAGCTCAGAATGGACAAATCAAACTTTGGCTCTAGATAGGGCTATTTGTGATTTTGTGTTTTTGTGTTGGCCACCACAGTTCCCCTACACACTTGGCACGCAGGAGAAGTTTCAGTTGGTTGCAATCTGCAACACTTACCTCTAGATGCCACTAAATCCTACACACTAGACCTTTAAAAGGTAAGAAGTACATTTTCTGTCTCTCTGAGATGCAATGGAGAAAAAGGAAAACTTGCACCGAAAACACACCAAGCAGTGGTAAAGAGTGGCCTGTGGGGAGCTGCCACGCAATTTCTATGGAAAACTGCAGCAGCCACTCAGAGCTCAGCGAGCTGCAGCTGTTTGATTCTGTGGTGAAGTGCGGCCAAACTTAAAGTGGATGATAGTTTCATTTTTGGCTGCAAATTGCGGCCAGAGAATACCCACAGCCAATCAGAAAACAAAGTCCTATGACCCCTGACATGTTGACTTGCGTTGCAAAGGATTTCTTCCAACCTGAAACATATGAACACTTCTCGCAGCCGCAGAAGAATTTGTGGCGAACCACGCTTTGCCACTGCTTGATGTGTTTTTGCCATTAGTATAGTGCAAGTACCTAAAAGTTGTCCTTGAGGGCACTTGAGTAAATGTGTGCAATTACTTTCTGCAACAGTTGTGAAGAAAAGAAAAAGAAACAATAAAATGCTCTCCACATACTTATAGCAGCATTAAAATCGGACTCAGTGTGGCGCTGGGGTTTGAGAGCTGCTGAGGTGACTGAATAGGAAGCTGTGGTCATCTTAATAAAACATGAGTAAACAGCAAAGAGATGGTATATAATCTGCTCAGGTAGCACTGCAGCTTTAAAGCACACACACACAGAGGTTGGGGATGAGAGGAAAGAGAGGCAGGGATGTTAATCTCTCCAAAACACACCTGCATGCTGGAATACACCATCGCATTACAGACAAACTGCTTTTTTTTCTTATCTCGCCGCTCTCCTTAACGGTGTCCATGTAGCTGCCTATCTGCTCGACTCCTCGTCCCTCCTCCACATCACATCCACGGCTACACTTTTACCTGATTTCTCTTAGTTTTACACCCTGTGATGAATCAGTATGGTGGACTATATGTACCTTATGCCTCCCTATAACCACTTGGCAGTTAAAAGAGAAGCTGGCTGTGTGTTGCCCTTGGAAGCTTCGCCTGTTAAGCAGAACCTGTCTCTTGTTAACAAGGGCCCTCCTCAATTACTCTCCATCGAGACACTTGCTAAAATAGCCACAGAGCCCTTCTTCTCTCCACACCCCCACCCCTTCCTCCTCCTTCATCCATCCACCTTTATTATTTAGAACCATGGGGATCTGTGTTGCCATGGATTCTGTCGTCATGACTACAAACAACTACGCACATGTACAGGAAGTGTGGAGAAGGACGAATGAGAAGGGAGTGCCGGGGGGTTGATAAAGGGTCTTGGAGGAAGCTTAACCTCTGCGTGCTGGCGATCCAGCTGTGATAAGTCACGGGGTTCAGGGTGAGGGGGCAAAGATGGCGAGGCTGTCCATCAAATGTTCAATGACAGATGGAGGTCAGGGCAAAGCCTCAGAGGGACACGAGTGTGATTAAAGCACATGTGTAGTATTCCAGTTGGGTGTTTCCTTGTGTCAGAGGAGACATGTCAGAGCATTTTCTGCGCACTACAACAACAACAACAACACCTTTCCCATATTCCAAAAATACCTTCCTGCATTAATGCAGGATGGCACGAAGAGGCAAACTCTCTCCACATTTAAATCCTTCTCTGTACGTGTACAAACAGATAAAACATTGTGATTCCTCCAGTCGGTCTGTGCAGCCTTGAAGGACGCGGGGTGATTTACATAGGGTGCAGATAAGAGCGGAGTTTTATCAGCGTTGACGGACAACTGACTGTTCAATGCACCCGTGCAGAAATGAAGTTTGCAGCACGTCCTTGACTTGTGAAGCATTGCAGTGACACTCCAAGGCTCTCATGGAACAGTTTGTACCCAGGGCGTAGGTTTTGTTTCAATACTGGTAGGGGACACATATGAAACACAGGGTTTGGGGGGCTCCTCTGACACTTATTTTCCTGCATTTGCTGAATTTTTAGGCAAATATGTGTATTTTCTGATGCAAAACCCCTCTGCTACTTCCATGTTTTCATTCGGGCAGACAAATGCACATGTTCAAAATGTTGAGAAGGTTGTGCCGCCTGCATTCCCCCCTGATATCTAACCTTCTTCTCAAAATGAAGCACTGACAGGTGGCACGTGTGGTTAAACGACGGTTTGAGAGACGTCACTTCCTCCATGCTCTGTGCAGCCATTTGACTGGAGGGGATTTAAGGACAAACTGCTTGTATGGATGTTTCGTCTGATCAAGAGGAAGTACCTTTGATAGTAGTTCCTCCATTGCATCACGCTAATGAGGGAGTTCTTCACCGGGCTGTTGGATCAATGGTGGATCGATAAGTCATATCTGATCTTTATAAGGCTCCAACTAACTCTCTACGGCCCAAACACGGACTGAAAAGGATAGATAAAAACAGAAGTTATAGGCAATTAAAACATAATGCATGGGAGGCAAACACAATTACAATGATGTTATCTTAAATTTATATTTGAGCTGCAAATTAAATCGCATTTATCGGACTGGTGTAGCTCTGAATCATCATCCTTGTCTCTACACCGCCCATTTACAGTACTTCAGCATGTTGTCTATAGCTCCACCTTGTGGCTTTATGACACAGTGACCATGACAGCATGAGGATTTGTGTGTTGTTTCTCCTCTCCCTCTGCCTCTGTCTTATGCAGACTCTTCCTTTCATCAATAAAAAGACACATTTTCCTCTCTACCACACAGTGGAGGTTAAATCTGCAACCTTTATGATTTGATAATACCAGGTGACACTATATGATTTGTTGCCTGGCTGCTGTTGTTGACAGCATTTCACAGGTTTAAGTGCTGAGCGGCTCTCAAAGGTAAGTGATAAATGCACTGCAGCAGATTCCGCGGGGTGTACTCTTTCTACAGTACAAGCACTTGGCTGTTAACACATCCTACAGTGTTAATGTAGACAGAGTGCATTACGGGAGAGAAGGGAAATCAATGGACCAGCTGAAGCACTGGCCCATGCAAGCAGTACACATTAAAAGTCAGAGTAATCCTGATCTGCACTGTGGAATTTCCTCAATGTTAACATTTTTATATTCAGTATCTGTGTCTGACAGATATTGAGTGCAGATTATGGGGTTCATTGTGTGTGCTTCACACTTTGTGCCTGTGGCCACTGTCTATTTCTGTGGTTGCAGTTATGTGTGACTGTCTTTAGGAATGAGCCAGACTATATTACACCCTGGTCCCTCCCTCAGAAGCTCTGCTAAAGTAACAGCTGATGTCAGTCCTGCTTAAAGACACACACACACACACACACACACACACACACACACACACACACACACACACACACACACAGAACTGCAACCTGTCTGCCATTAGGCAGCAGCTTCAAGGGCACAGCCAAAGGGGAGGAGGGCTCCTACACCTTCCTCTCCCCACGACACATCAGCACTTGGCACAGGCGAGGCTCCATAGCTCGCTCACAAATCCACAATCCAAGGCTTGAATCCCAAGTTGCAGCAGACAGAGGAGGGGAGGGCAGTTATCTAAGGCTCTCAGCACCCCCATGTGCCTGCTTGGATCATGGAGCTGCACTGTCTTCCTACTGAGACCCCCACCTCAGCCAGCTCCTGCTCCACGGACCCCCTGTACGACAACTGCCCACCTTTTGCCCAGCGAGGGAGGGCCGGGGAAAGGGAAATGGAGAGTAGGGTTGTGTGCCCGGCTGTAACCAGACTCCCAGGCCCCTGCAGCCCTCAGCCTGGTCTGGCCCCAGCTGTGGCTGAGGTTCCCACACTAGTCGGTGGGGGAAGAGTGACTGGCCCCTGGCCAGATCACAGCTACTGCAGCTGGAGAGGAGGTCTGAGAAGACAGGGCTGGGAAACAGAGCTGGGCCCAGGCATAAACAGAACAAGAGGGGGAGAGAGAGGAGGAGGAGAACAGGGCGGTAGCTGGGGAGTTAAGGACAGAGCTCATCTGAACCAGAGCCCCAACCCATCACAAAGTGAGGAGCACAGGAGTGCTCTCTCTCTGTATGATAACCTCCCCGATGCTGTCACTCCTGACAGCCTCCAAGAAGTCTTTGACATGGAAACAAGCTTCCAGGAGCAGATGTACCAAGCATGGGCCCCTGACCAGATCCAGGGAGTGATGGACGGCGAGTGTGTGAGCGAAGACAAGAGCACATGGTCCTCCTGTGAGATCATCCTTGCTGAAAGCCGTTTCAGTAACCAGGACCAGAATCCAGACCAAGACAAGAAACATGAACAGGAGCCAGAGCTGGACTCAGGATCCTTTGGATTTAAGCAGGGGGACCCGATGCTGAACCTCCAGCTCCAGATGCCACCTCCTCAGCATCCTGCAGCAAGTTCCCCTCAGTTATCCCAAACTGCGTGCCAAGTTATGTGGCCCCCAGCTGAAGCCCATCACCCAGAGCAGCCATCCTGGTCTCCCAGGGTGCCCCCTCCGGTTCCCTTGGCGGACCCCTCGGCCAGTGCCCTTCGCAGCCTCCTCACCAGCCTCCAACAGCAAATAGTCAGACAGAGGGAGGAGTACGAGGCACGCATACTCAGGTAATGTTCAATTTGTTTTGTCTTGCATTTCCATTTCAAACTACACAGCACGCGTAATCACGTTACAGAGATTAGGCACGCTGTGTGAAAAAAGACAAATGAAATGTCCTGAATTTAATGTGCTTTGCTCTCGGCTTCAGTATTACACTTTCAGTTCACTGATTCGCCTGTGAGATTTTCCCAGCCCTTGGTGTATTTGCAGCGGAGGGTGACACAATGTTCCCAGGCCCAGAAAGTGTGTGTGTGTGTCCGCTCAGCTGTGTTGCTCTGTTCACTCAGTTGACCCCGAGCTTCACCCGATATCCTGTTTAGTTCTAAGCTACAGACAACTGTTACTAGTTTGCTTTAAAGTTTCCCAAGACAGGAACATTAAGTCCTAATTATTCATGTTCTGTTTATGTGTTTTCACTCAACTATGGCAATCTCAGACTATCACAAATTTCACTTGTGCTATACACTGCATGTAATTTTTCCACTGACCTACACAAATTCATGTTTCCTGTTTCACAGACAAAATGCACAGCTTGTGTGGTTGACCTATAGAGACAGCTCATGGCACTGGAAAGTGAGCTAATTTAAGGGGCCATGCTGCTGACCTAGACACAACACATACCTCATTTATTACCAATATAGATAGAGCAAGTCTCAGTGTACTGGTACTGGTTGGCAAGGGCGACAGGAAAACGACAATTCTTTTGGCTTTAACATAGACTATAGGAAGCAGATAAATTTAATTATGTAAATTAACCCCACCTTCAAAGCAAATGCTGCCTTTTTTTTAACTATATTAGGCAAGAATCAAACCTACACACACCAAACAATCAGTGTCCAACAAATACACTACTCTCCTCTCCTCTTTCACTCTGTCCAACCCAGTTCTCCATCTTTTATACACACCTTGTCATTCTGATATCCTTTCCCTCTTCTTCCTCATGTCTTTACCATCAGCCTGGAGCAAAGAAACGAAGAGCTCCAGGTAGAGGTCGTTCGGTTGAAAACGAACCTCGCCCAGCAGCGGCACTGGTACCACGCTGTCCAGGCTAAGATTGCAGAGTCTGAAAGGGGCCGGGCCGCCGCAGAACTTCGCAATGCAACTCTGCAGAAGGAGATGGAGCAGTTCTTTGACACTTTCGGAGAGCTCAACAACGAGGCCAAGAAGACAGAATATATAGTCAAGAGCTTTTGAGAAAAGAACGTATGAAATGTGTGTGCTGATGTGAACAGTGTGTGCTAAGAGAAGTACAAAAGGCACAAGACTGGTTAGTCTTTAAACTCTAGTTAGGATCATGTTTAATAGTTTGTCACCACCTATTCAGAATACTTTCTTACCTAATTGGGAGAGGTTTAAAGGGACAGTTCAACCAAAAATATTCATATTTTTCCTCTTACTTGTAGTGCTATGTATCCGTCCAGATTGTTTTGGTGTGAGTTGCTGAGTGTTGGAGATATCAGCTGTAGCGATGTCTGCCTTCTCTTGAATATAATGGAAATAGATGGCACTCAGTTTGTGGTGCTTAAAGCACCTAAAGATAAATTTGGAAAAACTCAACAGCAATGTCTCTTCCCCAGGAATCATGACCCGGATACTAAAGATAATCCACAGACTTTGTTGTGAGCAGTTTCATCTAGGAACTATTTTCTTTCTATCTGACTACATCGGCAGACCATACCATTGCGCAGAAGGAAGGGTGCATCTACTGCTAGCTCTCCTAGCACCACTGAGCTAGCTAATGTTGCAGTTCAGCCAAGGAGGACGGCATTAATGTTTACATCTCGCACTGTCACAAGCAGGAGCCTCTTATCCATGAGTAGATGCACACTTCCTTCTGCGCAGTGATACGGCAGGTGTACTAGTTCAACAGAAAGAAAATAGTTCTAACATGAGATTACTCACTGTACCCGACTCAGAATTACGTCGATCAAATCAGATTTGGCCAATTCGTTGTTGTTTTTTACGAATAAGGATTTAAAGTTTGAACGGGCTCAGCGGGAGGTTCAGTGTGACAACAGCATTCATGTTATATAGTAACAAGCTAACTATGCTAACGACGGATCGGAAACATGCAACAATTTTTGCTGACACTGGATATTAAACAAAAGCCAGAGACTGTGTTGTATTAAGTATCAGTGAGCTGTAAATACACCACTTCAAAGCTGAAATGAAAAGATAATGTTATCTCAGAATCTTCCCTCTGTGCGTCTGCAGCTGACTGTACCAAAGGGTAGTGTGAGAGTCAAGAGCCCTTACACCACACCACACCAAAATCTGGGCAGCAAAACGTCCTCAGAAATGCACTGCACAACACACTAACTAGCAAAACAAACAAAAAACACAGATTCAACTTGAAGCAGTCTTAGTTGACTGAGGGATCTCCAACTGACGATTCGAATCTCCAACTTTTAAGGGGCAGTCTTAACAAGGTCTGGGGATTATCTTGAGTAACCAGGTCATGATTTCTGTAAAGAGACAGTGCTGTTGAGTTTTTCACATGCGTTTTTGGTACCACAAGCTGAGCGCCATCTAGTTCTATTACACTGGAGAGAAAGCAGACATTTTTACGGCCCATACCTCCAACACCAAAACAACCTGGTAAGAGGGAAAACATGCGTTACGTATTTTGGGGTGAACTGTCCCTTTAAGTGATGTGTGGTTATGTCTTCTTTAAGAATCTGAGACAGATACAAAACATCACTGAAAGAAAATGAATCACTGATGTCCACTTTATTAGTTACGTAAGGGCAAAAGATGTTGGCCGGGTGATTATATTGTGGTCATTGCAATCACACAGGACATCTCTGAAAACAAAAGGCAGAATAAACTGAACCGAAATGTGAGATGTACAATGTATACAATTGAGCTTTCTTTTAAAAAAACAATAAAAAAAAAAAAAAAACATGGTAAACATTGTAACAGAGGTTCTGAGCACTGTAACGCTCAGTCCTTATCTGATCAGATTTGTGGGAGTGAATTGGCCACTCCTCGGGTCACTTAAGGCATGGCTAAAAGAATATGGTCATGGTTTTAAAAAAAAAAATATATAGTGTACAACAATTCAGTCCTCTGTGACTCCATAGTGTCATATCTCTGCATGTCCATCACACTGTGCAATCAGTTCTGCAAAAAGCAGCTCCACAGTCCATTTCTCTCGTCTTTAAGTTTCCATCTCAGGTTCCAAGGTCCGGATTTTCATTCACGCTGTCCACAGTCACATCCTCATTTTAAACCACGACATGTCTGCTTTTTGTTGAGGGGGGCAACTTCCTCCTTAGACTCTGCCCTTACAACCAGGCGACTGCTGTCTTTAAGGATGATTCAAAGGAGATTATGAAAGAGAGTGCCGCACAGCACATTGTCATAACACACACGCGCACACATATATAGGTTTACAATGCAAAAAAAAAAAAATTACAACATCTGCATCAAACAGGCTTTCAGAACCAAGAACATCAAGGTACTGTAGGTAAAAGAAACAGACCTGAACGAATTTCTCTTGATAAGTAGAACTACGGTATCTTATTGGCATCTTTAATGCCTTCATGCAAGTTAAACACCATTATTTGGGTTTTACTGCCTTAACATGTGTTCTATGTGATGTCTTATTCATGATGAATTGTGTGACTGTTCCAGTACTAGTGGAATGGTTTAGAAAAGGATCAGCCAATGCACTGGTTTGTCAATGAAATGCGTTGACGAGAGGCTTATTTTACACTGGCCTCGACGTGATCGTGTGCAACATTTTGCAAGAACACAAAAATAAATACATGTATCTTTTTTCCTCTCCAAAATTTACAGGATTACGATGTTCTTTTGATATACGCATTGTTAGTCGGTACCTTTTGTCCAATGGGGGTGCAATATATAGCTCTACAGGTATGTTGAAATTTTTAACAAAATGAGCACACCGTATCTATTAGTAATGAAATGGTCTACGGCCACTATGAGCGTCAGATCATCTTTACATACAGTACATTATATCAGGAAATAAAAGTGTAACACTGCAACCACAGCTTCCCCCAGCTGTCAGGAGGAAAAGCTCAAAATCCACATCACTCGAGGCAAATAATTAAAAAAACAAAAACAGTGCAGAAAGCACCACTGTGGAGATCTGCGTTTGATCGTCAGATGGACATCACGTGGTTGGCGCCATCGACTCACGGTAAGCTTTTGCTCTTATCGGCGTAACATGCATGAGAGCAGCTGGCAGCTGTGGTCTATGTTCAGTGCGCGTCTGCTTTGATTTGATAACCTCTGGACTCAACGTAATATTCGCTAAAAAAATAAAACTATTAAAATACAGGCATATGGAACAAACAACAATCCCCACCTACTCCTTGTAACCTGAAAATTAACATGGATGCATACATCATATGTACTTGATGAAGGTAAACAACATCCACAAAGAAGAGAAAGATAAACGTTTGACCCAACCGACAGAATCGACAGCTCTGACCACCAGGCAACAGTCCAAAACAAAGTTTGATGTTGAAGACGTTCGACAAGATCCGCAACATCACACATGGAAAAATTAGAAAAATAGACCTATTCGCTGACGTTAAAGAGGAAAGAAGAAAAACACAGGACAAAAAAGGGGGAAAAAACAAACAAACAAGAAAACGGGGGTCAGATGGCGTAAAGAGAAAAGGGAAGGTGATGGGTGATTGATATTTGGATACTGTAAATGGGAGGGGAGGACTGAGGCAGGCAGACGCACGTGGCCACGGACTGTGTTCACTGACTCTCGTCCAGCGGTCCCGTCAGTGTGTCGATGCTGCTGCTGTCTGTGTCCGAGGCTAAGGTGTGCTCCGTGGACATGGACGAGATGTCATTGGCTGATGAGGACTGTGAGGCCGAACCTGACACCACATCTGATGGATGACACGAGGTTTAGGTAAGTGTACAAGTAAGAATAACATTTAGAGTTAATGCAGTGCATCTCCTATATATTTTTGTGGGACTACGACAACATATTACAGGGAACTGGTTTTAGGCTAAAGCTAATTATGCTTTGACACCTCTCCTTACAGCAGTTAGGTGTCCAGTCCTGTACATACCTGAGCAGTCTTCTTTCATCAGTCCATTCTTGTTCCTCTCTTCCCAATCCATCACCTCTTCATAAATGAGTTCTGTAGAAAGGCAGATGCAATGTTAGGTGCTCTCAGTCTGCATTCACAATTGGGTTGCAACTTAATGAGATTTTCACGGAAGAATTACCATCTAAAAAATATCACAGTTTCACGGTATTACACTGCTATCACTATTATTGTTATTACTGTTAACTGCTAAATGAAAAACATCAGCTGTGAGCTTTCAAATTAATGTCCCATGATTAACAATTCACACTTACTGTAGGTACGCAACAGCACAACCAAACTGTCTGTATCTTTTACTCACACACACACTCACATATGCTGTCAGCCAGAAAGTGAAATTATTTACAATTCTTGCTTGACATACAACTTCAATTTCTCAATAGTCTGAGGTCCCTGTTGTCGTATTTTGTGCTTCATATCGTGTCACACATTTTCAATAGGAGGTCACACACATTCAGAATATGGCTCAGTGGAATAAACAGGGATGTCCCTGAAAAAGATGTTATCTGAATGGTAGCATATGTTACTCCAAAACCTGTATGTAACCCATGATGCCATGGGGCACTAACACACCCCCACAGCACTGGTCACAGATGCTGGCTTTTGAACTTTGTGCTGGTAACAATCTGGATGGTCCTTTTCCACTTTAACCCAGAGGACACTATGTCCATAATTTCCAAAGCAATTTAAAGTGTGATCTTGTCAGACCACAGCACACTTTCCCACCTTGTGTCAGTCCATCTCAGATGAGATTGGATCCAGGGAAGTTGGTGACATTTCTGGGTGTTGATAAATGGCTTTTCTTTCGCATGGTAGAGTCTTAACTTGCATTTGTAGGTGCATCCACAAACTGTGTTTACCGACATTGGTTTTCCAAGGTGTTTCCGAGCCCATGTAGTTATAGGCTTTATACAATCTTGTCAGTTTTTCATGCAGTGAAGCCTGAGAGACTGAAGGTCACGGGCATTCAATATTGGTTTTCAGCTTTGCCCCTGACCTGCAGATATTCCTCTGGATTCTCTGAATGTTTTGATGATATATGAACTGTGGACGGTAAAATCTATGAATTCCTGCAATTGTGCATCAAGAAAGGCTGTTCTTACACTGGTGGACTGTATGGCCACACAGTTTTCTGTGTCCGTCATTGCTTATGAACAACTGGGCCTTTGAGGATGCCATTTTCTTACCCAATAAAAACACTTTAATCTGTAATTAATTAATCTGTTGACCTGTGGAACATTTTAGGTGTTTTTTGAGCCTTAAAAAGTCTTAAACCTTTGCCGGCGTTTTGCTGTCTCTGTCCCAACATTTTGGAACGTGTTGCAGACATCAAATTCAGAATGAGTGTGTATTTCACAAAAAACAATAAAGTTTATCAGCCTGAACATTAAACATATCTTGTCTCTGTGCTGTATTCAATTGAATATAGGTCAAAAAAGATTTGCAAATCATTGCATTCTGTTTCTCTTTACATTTTACACAGCGTTCCAGCCATAAATGTACAGGAAATTCTGTGCTCATTGTATCAGCTCTTAGAAATGTCATTTAGTTAGGATCAGTCTGCTGTAACTTTATAATCTAAATGTGAAGGAAGTGAAGCTGCACTGCTGATAGATTTCCCTAGAGGGCAGTGCATCCTACCTTTCCACTGCTCGATGGTGTGCTCCCTCTCCTCCAGCTGCTTATCTGAAATCTGGGGAGGAGGCTGTGAAACAAAGAGAAATGCATATAAATATCAGCAAGGTCACACACAGCCAGCTGCTGCACTGGTAAAGAGAACCACCACTGGAACAGTCTCCTCACCGCGTCGGCCTCTCCAGGGTCGTACCACACGTGAATGTACGGGTGATTGAGGGCTTCTTCTACGGAGATGCGGCATTCGGGATCAATGACCAGCATTTTGGACAGCAGGTCCCTTGCTTGACCCGCTGTTATGGCAACAGAGGAAGGGCAGTGTTACTATGGAAACAGGCCCATGACATCATTTAAGCGGTCCTCATAAGAACTGATTACTTCCCCTTGCGGTGTTGGGCAGCATCTCTGGAAATGTCAAGATCTGTTCTCTTGTTTCAATGATATGATCTCTAACTCTAAATGCCACAGAGGAGAGCAGAGAAACTTTTGACCTGCATGGTCATTCTCTAAACTAGTTGTATAAGGGATCCAGTTTTCAGTCTCTGTGCCTCTAATTTTGTTGGGAAATGTCTTGTTACATCATCAGTATACTGCAGGCAAATGCCTCTGACTAAACTCTATTTTACATGGTACTGTCCCTAAAAAGATTTTCTTTTAAAAACCATGAAACTGGACAAAATGTAAAATATCTATGCAAGGAAACTGCAACTATATGCATTTAAATTTGTATTTTTGTTTTCTTACTCTTTAGTTTGTCATGTTCTGAGTCAGAGGGAAAAGCCCAGTCTGGGAAAAGCTCGGCAAAGCTGACACCAGGATACTGCGGCTTGTTCATCACATAGTTCCTCACGGTCTCCATCAGTCGGTTCATGAACTCCAGACTGGGCGTGCCCAGAACCTCAATCACCTTATTCCACTGGTCGATGTCTGGACAACACGCTTGTTAAGGGAAACTTAGCTGCATTATGTGCATATGCACGTGTCAGAAAATTAAAGGAACATTTGATAAGGCACAGAATCAAGAGACACATACATGAAATGGATGCACGTTACATAACATATAAATATCCAAGCAAGACAAAAGGTAGGCTCTAATTATGCACACTGGTGCTTTGAGCTAAATGCTAACATTAGCATGCTAACATGCTCAA